CCCCCAACTGAAAACTGTGGTTCATGACTGAAGCAGACTCACATCAATGCCGTCCACTCCGGGAACGCCGGCTGCTCCTGGCGGCCCCTGGGGCCCTCTGGGACCGACCGGGCCCCTCTGTAGAACAAACACAAAAAGATATGTTTTTTTTTTTCCACTGAAATTCATCTCTTAAATATCATCCAGTGCTGCTGGTGCTGGTGGTGGTGCGAGGGGCAGCTCACACAGACTCTCATTGTTTGGCTGATGTGAGGGGAAAGGTCATGAAACTAAACCAGGTTTCCCATTATAGTCCCATTATACTGTCTAAGCAACTGCATGTGTTCGGATTACTGCTGCTGACTGGACCTTATTGGTGCCAGTTGTGTACACTGAGATAAATGGGCCACAGTTTTTAACAACTGCTAAATAAACTATGCATACATTTTTACATTTTGCTGAAAAAAAAAAAACCACCTTAAATTCACCAATTTCAACAGTCACATGCCCCATACTGACTTTATAAATGACTCATACCATAATGTGTAATGCCAATACATGCTGTTTAAGAACATCCAATACTAAAGCTGGAGCCCCTGAAGAGTGTCATAGGATTAAAGAATGTTTAATTAAAATTAATTTGAGCATTAGCATCTAACAGAAACACAGTTTTCACAGGGATAATATGATGGAAAGTACAGTACAGTAAACTAAAGTCATTACTGACCAACATAAAATAAGCTTAAAGTGCCAAGAGAAGTATAAAATATGTTAACACGACAGATTCAAAATAATATCACATATAGTGAAAATATGAACTTACTTTTAAGGATAATTCAGACACCTCGCATTCTCTGTCTATTATTATTATTAGGATACATAGGAAATAAAACATTGTTGAGTACAATAAGCTTTCTCTAAATGTCTATAGGACCCAGCACCTATAGGAATATTAGATGAAGGAGAGGAAAGAAGGAGCACCCATCTTCTCACCTGAGCCGAGCAAATCAGCACAATTTGCAGTAAAATCACCAGCAAAGACTCTCGATAGATCCTGGAGAGAGCCATGGTCCTCCCAGGGCCGAGGAAGACGCTAAAAGTCCCTTTTTCCCAGATTAGACGGGGCTCACGGACGGTCCACCTGTCTGTCTCCCCCCTGACTGAAACCCCACCGCCTGCTGGAAGGGGAGGATGTTAGAGAGTCCTGATTATTCATGAGGAGCTGAGGCTCTGCAGGAGGAGGAGGAGGAGGAGAAGGAGGACTTCTCAGCACAAACAGGGTGGAGTACCTTAAAATTAAACTAAATCTGATGACTGCAAGTACAGTAGAAACGACTGCGTGACAGAGAAGTGTTTGATATTGTCCTTAACCTGGCTTTAGGATGTGTAGCTTAGCTTTTCTAAACCATATTTTTGCTCTTTAAATGTTTGTATAATGGAGTTAAAAGTGAAAAGGGGGTCTGGGGAATTCAAAGTGAATAGTGTAATTAAATTATTGTCACATATTCAGTAACTTTCAGGTTTGTTTTTAGAATACATTTGTCATATATTGAAGATAAGACAATTTCAGTAACTGAAGGTCAGTGATAGAAGAAGTATTTCAATCTTTACGTAAAGGTCCTGCTTTCAAAACCTTATATAAGAAAAAGTATGTATCTGCAAAATGTAGTTAAAGTAAAAGTATCCATTGTGCAGTAATGTTCCCTCTCAGTGTTTTGCTGTCATATCTGATGTTTTTGGACGAACAGTACGGCTGCATCAGGTTGTGTTAATTTTATCTCCTTTATATACTGTTGGATAGTTTAATTCACAACATATTCTTTAAGGGACTGTTTGTTATTTATGAGGGGGAAGTGGGTGGTGCAAAACAGAGAGGCACGTCAAATAATTTTTAAGCGCTGGGAACGGACTTATGTTTTTTTTATTTTGGCATAGGGGAGGGGCATACAAATTTAAATGGTTGTATTTTGTATTTATTTTACCACAGATTTTTAAGGAAAGATTCCTTTTTAAGTTTCTGATTTTTACAAAAGATAAAGAAAAAAAACATGCCTCCCAAACCAAAGGCATTTTTCTTAAAAAAAAAAAAAAGTCATAACCATGAACTGTAAAAACAGAAATTATATTTTATTAATTTTATTATCATTTTTAAATATCTGACAGGCCTTTGGATACGTCATGTGTGACAACAAAAAACGAACAAACAAGAAATCAAAAAGAAACAAAAAGAAATCTGAGCTTAAAAATCTTTTTGTAAAATTTTGCCAAAAATAAAACATTTGCATGGACTAAGCAGCAAAAAACCAAGGCTTTTTTCAACTGCAGATTTAGTCTTTAACTTTTAATTAACATCAAAGGATACTTTTTAAAAATCTATTAACTAATTTATGTTGTTTGGGGGGGGGGGTCATGCATTTTTCGCCTGTCACTCAGGGAGGCTGAAGGGAAAATATTTGTAACTTCAGGGAGGGTCAGTAAAAAATAAAATAAAAACAAAGAAACACCCCTGCCACCCACTCCTCTGATAAGTAAAGAACGGTCCCTAAGATCATCATATGTTTAATCACAATATGATTTGACAATATCCCTGGTAGAGACTTGTGTTGAATTGGCTACTCATGTAAATAAAGAGACAGGGGTATAGAGGAGATCATTTAACATACTTCTTAACAGTGGAGGAAAGTACAAGTACATTTACTTAAGTACAGCACTTTGAGATACTTGTGCTTAACTTCAGTGACCTATTTCCATTTTATTCTAGTTTATACTTCTACAAGTTCAAGGAAAAACATGTCATTGCTGATACTTGTGCACTTTTAATTGAGTGTATTTTTTTTGTGGTAGAATGTAATTAAATTAATTTACTCAAGTCCTGTAGCCTACTTATTAAGTAGCCTGCAAATTTGAGGTACTTGTAATTTATATGAGTATTTCCACTATACTTTACACCTCTATTTCATTTTGTAGGCAAATATTGAACTTTTTACCCGACTACATTTATCTGACAGCTTTCAGCTTCTTTTCAAATTTAAATTATTAATACAAAATACAAATTAACTAATAAATATTGATATATTAATGATTAAAATAGTGTGTATTATTGTGGTATGTACCATTCTGCATAATGAGTAGGTTACTTTTGGTTGCTACTTTAAATATATTTGATGCTAATACACTTGTACTTTACAATTATGAATGCAGGACTTTTACTTGTAGTTTAGTTGTTTTTTTTACTGTGGTACTGCTACTTTTATTTAAGTAAGTAAGTCTTCCAACACTGGTTGTTCTAGTACCAAACTGCTCCTGCTGCTCTCCAGCCGAGTGGTGGCGCTGCAATATAAGCACGCCAACCTCTAATAACTACAACGAAGAAGAATTGGACCGGAAGTTCAATGAGGGCGCAAGCAGGCGTCGTTTTCAAAGCTCGTTAACGGTTGTTGTCTTGGTGCTCTGTGTTCCCGACCTGTAAACAATAAAACACAAGCGCTACTTAACAAACATTACCGGTAACGTCACCGTGATGAGTCCACCGTGAGAGCGAGCCGGCCTCCGTGCAGGTGAGAAACTTACCCGTTAAATATCTCTTCATAGTTAGCATTGTTTATATTAACTGCCTGTTTAACTGCTAACTGTTAGCTTAACGTTAGCTCGCTTCCGTTTACTTTTGCGTTTGAGAAAGATATGCCGAAGCCCCTTCAAAAATCTGTCGCTTTAGGATTGACTCGCTTGCTGCCTTGCTTTAATTATTAAGCTGATATTATTCAAAAACGTTTGGGTTCAGTAAAACGTTAAAGGTTTATCGATAAATTCGGCTTTCACTGGAGCCACGACTATCTTTGTTCTGTTTAAAGAGCAGCTGGTAAAGAGTTCACAACGTCCCTGTATTGTTAACTATACATTTGTATCAACGAATACTGATATGTAAAGTAGTAACCATTAATTTTAGACATGTTTCGTCTTTCAAGGAAATTTAAAATTATTACTAAAGGCATATTAAATTGTTAATTTAGTGAACTGAGTTTGCCTTGAAGCAAACCTGTTTTCTGGTGCTGTTGAGTTGCATCGTGTCAAACTGAGGGGGTTATACTTATATTAATAACGGTGAATTATTTACACTAATCAGCCAAAACATTAAAACCACTGTCAGGTGATTACAATGCCATGTTCTGCTGGGAAACCTAAGGCCATGGCATTTATGTGGATGCCACTTTGACAGGTTCCACCCATCCAAACACTATTACAGACCACGTACACCCCTTAAAGGCAATGGCACTCGTTGATGGACACAGGACCTCTTAAGGTGTCCTGTGGTGTCTAGAATCAGGGCCTTGGCAGCGGACTCTTTGAGTCCTGTGGGTTGTGAGGTGGGGTCACAGCACGTCCCACAGATGCTCAATCAAATGGGGATCAGGGGAATTTGGAGGCCAGGTTGACCCCTTTAGCTCTTTGTTGCATTAATGGGGCCATTCCTGAGCAGTTTTTGCAGTGTGGCATGGTACATTGCCCTGCTAGGGGGCATCACTGGCATTTGGGATGCAAAGATGTTTGGGTGGGTGGTGCGTGGCAAAGGATATCCACATGAATGCCAGAACCCAAGGTTTCCCAGCAGAACATTGTATTGTAAAAGAGGTGATCGAAGATATTCATTTCACCTGACAGTAGTTTTAAAGTTTTGGCAGATCAGTGTGTACCATCTATCTTTTTCACCTTAACTTGATTTATTTAGGAATCTACGAAACACTGAATTCAAGGCATAGCATGATGAAGTGAGAATACTTATTTCCACGGTGGTATCAAAATGTTAACAGACATAAAACAATAAAATGTTAGAAAATTATGTCTAAACTCAAGAATACCCACACCAAATCACATAGATACAGTTTAAAACGTTGACAACTTTATTAAAAGCATATTAATAGCCTGTCATCACCTTACTCCATCCTCAAAGAAGTGTCTCTTGTTCTTCTTCATATCTGTTTTATATTGTTGTATTATGTATATTGTAATGTCCCCCCCTTCAGGTTTTATGCTACCTCACTGACTTGAAACTGAAAATAATATGGACAACCTGGATTTCTCAGAAGAGGAAATTCAAGAACAACTGGCGATCCTGGGCTACAAAAATATACCAAAACACAGACTGCTTGAATTCAAGCAAGGTTAGACTCTGCAGCATGAATAAAACTAAATGTTTATCTTGTGCATTGGTGTTAAAAATAATTTTAAATCAGTATACCATAGGGTAAATCTCAGTTTCATTTCAAGAAATGGTCGAAGACAAGGAGAAAAGATAATTTGGACATTGGTAATTTCTGTGTTTTAACTTAAAGGATTAAGCTCTCTCGTTATTTAATGTCAGATCTCGAAGAACTGGTTCGACGCGAAGAATGGAAAAGCCTGGCCTCGTCCACTCAGATAAACTCTGACAAATCTCAGGTGGCCACATCTCAGCCGAGTCCTCCTGCCTACACCAAAGAGAAAGGTCAGGGCACTTATCTCACTGTGGGAAAATAATAGTAACTGTAATTATTATAATAATAACACTTTTCTCTAAACAAATATCATCAGTCAAGTGTAACATTTTAAGATTTTCCATTTAATGTCGTGTCTTAACTAATGAAATCTGTGTTTTACTTCACAGTTAGTCGTCAGTGCTACTTTAAAGGTTCTGGTGAAGGGTTTTTCTTACATACCGGACAACCTGGCAATGGCAGACAGGTAAGTGTTAACCACACATTACTCTTATTTTTCTTTTATCTGGTGTTTCTCAGACAGTAATGACAACCCTTAGGTTTTAGTGTCAGTCCCTCAGAAACAAGTGTGAGGGCTTCTTTGTGGAGGCCCCGTTTTGTAGTGACATTGAGCTATTCAGAAAGACTATTATGTTTCTGTAGGTGCTTATAGCACAGGTACCCTGTGACTTGTACGCTCAACACTCGGTGGCTCTGAAGCTGCAGCTGCCTCCAGGTGCTCCCAGCAGGCTGCATGTGGAGCCAGATCCAGATCCTGACGACACCTTCGACCCACCGCTCACCGACAGCTACACATCCACTCCTGACTCCCACAGGGGACGCTTCATCAAGAGAAAAGTCCTGAGGTAATTTTAAAGACTCATGGGTGGGTCTGTGTCTGTTCATTCAGCTGCTTTTTTACTCCCGCCCAACGCTGCTTCGCAGCTTTAATTCATTTATTGTTTTGTCAAGTTTAAAGTTTTTTTAAAATTCATTCCATGTATGAAAAATAGAGCTCAATGCAGTATTGTTTATTTTAGGATTGTTTATTTTCAAACAAATCATAAAAAAATCTGATATGTAAAGAATGAAAATCTGAGTGTAATAAATGATCTGAACTTGTGCACATGGCAGAGTCAGACAAAGTTGCTCAGATATCTCCAACAATTTAACATCACAGTTCATCTGCCAAATGCAGCTACACTAAAGATTTTACAAAAAAGATGAAAGATAAACATAGAGATCTCAAGGTGCAGACTCACAGGATCAACATGTAACAAAAAGAGAGAGAATTTAAAACAATCACATTTGAGATATCGCTCTGTGGCTTCCTTTTATTTTTAAATTGTGCACTAAAAATTATTCGGACTGATCATTCCACTCATCAACTCCTCTACAGTCTAAAATAATGAGTGTGCACTGTCCATAAAGACAATCACAACACATTTTTATTTCCATCAAATTTTCGGTAAATTGATTGTCAGTAAAATGTCAATAACAATGATTAAAAACCTATCAAAAGCAAAACCTAAACTGCTGTCTTAAAAGTTTTTTGTCTGACTTGCAATCACAGAAATCCAAAAGTATTCTGTTTATAGTGATTATAAAACTGTAAACTGCAATGTTGAAAATGACTTTGGTATTTTTATTTAATAAATGACAACAATGAATAATTCATCCAAGTTGTTGCTCACTTTCTGTTAATCAAATTGAATAATTCATCACTTTAGCAGTGGTAAACAGAAACAGGGAATGAGTCACACATTGAATAAAGACAAGTATTTAAAGTAGATTTGAACTGACAACAGAAGATTTTAATTAATCATGAAGTGACTTGCCACATGAAGAAAATCAACCGTCTTTAAAAAAAGAGGGAGAGCATCCATTTTGTCTTCACTGGGGCAAGCCAGCTCTTTACTTCCTAGAAATATCTTCTTTTCTGGAAATGTGACAATAACACTGTTTTTTTTCCACCTACAGGAAACATAAAGGACAGTCTCTTGTCTGCGATGAATCAGTCTACAGTGAAGACTCAGGTGATCTTAACTTAACTTTAATCTTCTCTTCATCTGTTTGGAGTCTCTGTTCTATAATATTAATAATAATAGTAATCTTTATTTACTGAGGATACAAAGTGTGTCACACAAGGCAGTTTAACACTAATAAATTTTAAAATCATGTAACATTTTTGTCAATTAGAGAACCTTCAACAAAATACATTCACTGGATCAGCGTAAAATAGACGATTGAAGTAAAGTAATTCAAAGTAAGTCAGTTAAAATCAATATAAGCTCCCTGTTTTTAAGAAGAGATTTAAAAGATGATACTGACTGTGTGTCCTAAAGTTAGAGATGCACCTTTTAAAATCTCTAAAAATACTGTTATAAAAATAATGGTTATTTTAATCAATCTGTTTTTCTGGAAATATACAGGAAATTATATGCAGTTTATTATATGCACTTTCAGCTTTTCACCTATTTCAAATATTTTTTGTCCCACAACAAGGAATTATTTTTGCAGAAACAGCATAATAATATTTAACAAGAAACACAATAAAAACACAAACAAACTGAATATTTAGGTGTCCTTGTGGTCGGGTAACTACAACATCACAGAGTTGAATTCCTGTCACTCTTCTCTAAAATGTATTTACAAAATATGGAATCAAATGGAGTAAACACAAAGAAGCAGAGATGTAATCCCGTTGGTCACCAGCAGTTTGAGCTGTCTCAGCATTGAGACGTGGCCGAGCAGAAGAGGAAGCTCCTGGATATCAGCTTAATCCTCTTAGCTCCTTCGTTAAGCCCTCTGCCTCCACAGATCACACACCTCAGCAGGAGTGCAGGTCGCCAACATGTACAAAACATACGGCAGTCAGTGGGACAGAGAGAGCGAAGGCGGCGATAATTCTCTCAACTCCTCTTTTTGGTCCGATGGAGAGCGTCAGGAAGACGAGGAGGAGGTGAAGATTGAGCGAGTAATCAGCAAAGAGGACTCCAAAACTGTTGGCAATGCAGAGGACACTTACCAGAAAGCCTCAGAGGAAGAGGAGGTGGGGCGTGAGCGAGTGATCGCCGAGGAAGGCTCTAAACCTGTCAGTGGTTCTGGGGGTCCTCACCAGGAGGAGAAGATTGAGCGATTAGTCGTTAAAGAAGAGCCCAAACCTGTTGCCGATTCTGAGGAGTGTCAAGATGAGACGTCAGAGGAAGAGGAGCTCAGTGAGGAAGAGTCCAAAGCTGTTGGGGATGGAGAGGACGCTTACATGGAGGATTCAGAGGAGGAGGAGATTGGACGAGTGATCAGTGAAGAAGACTCCAAATCTGTTGCCGTTTCTGAGGGCTCTTACACGGAGGCTTCAGAGGAGGAGGTGGACAACAGTGAGGAAGACTCCAAGCCTGTTGACGATACAGAGAACTCTTACACGGAGGCTTCAGAGGAGGAAGAGGAAGAGACTGAGCAAGTGTGTGGCAAAGAAGAGCCCAAACCTGTTGACGACACAGAAGACTCTTATGCGGAGGCTTCGGATGAGGAGGAAGAGGAGGAGACTGAGCGAGTGATTGGCGAGGAAGACTCCAAAACTGTTGGTGATTCCGAGGACTTTGACCATGAAGCTTCAGATGAGGAGGAGGAAGAGGAGGAGAACGACGTGGAAGACTCCAAATCTGTTGGCAATACCGAGGAGAACAACGAGGAAGAATCCAAACCTAGTGGCGATGCAGAGGACTTTAACACTGAGGCTTCAGAGGAGGAGGAGACTGAGCGAGCAGATGGTGAAGAAGACTCCAAACATGGTAGCAATAGTGAGGACTCTTCCCAGGAAGCTTCAGAGGAGGAGGAAGAGGAGGAGATGGGCGAGGAAGACTACCAACATGTTGGCGATGCAGAGGACTCTTCCCAGGAGGCTTCAGAGGAGGAAAAACCTGAACTGAACGACCAGGTCAACATCAGCAGGGAGAGCTTGGAACGGGGAAGTAAGGATGACGATGATGATGATGATGATGATGATGATGATGATGATGATGATGATGAGGAAAGCTGTAGCAGCAGTTCTGATAGTCCAGCTCCGAGTCTGATGACCTCTGGCTACGGCACCTACAGACCAGAGGAGGTGGAGGGAGGAGACTACAGAGACGACCACACTATAACGGAGTTCGATCAGGACAGTCGGGGAGATCTGTCTGAGATGAGAGAGGACGAAGAGGAGGACAGTCGTTCGCTGTGCAGCTTCAGCGGGTTTGACATCGAAGCCACAGAGCCAGACTACCACGAGACTCGTCCACTCAGCATGTTAGCGAACACCAAGCCTGAAGCTAATGTGCTGTGTAGAAATGATGATCTGCGCATAAAGGAGGACGACACAGAGGTGAAATTAGAAGATGAAGACCAGTCAGATGAGGAGAAACTTAAAGCTCTACATGCAGCGTCTGAAAAGAAGGTGACAAGTGCAACATCAGAGGAACAACGTCACATCGCTGTGGCTGAAGAAACATTGGATTGGAAGCCTTTGCAAGGTGGGAGTGATGATGTTGGAGGGGGAAAACTGTGTGAAAGGCTTGAAGAAGAGAATAAAGAGAAAGAAGTTGAGGACAAACGGGAGTTGGAGGATCCAGACGAATCTTCAAGCAACAAAGACATCAAGTTTATTGACTCCAAAGTGGATTTCAGCCAAATGTCGTACGACAAGATGTGCGAGGAGTGGGAAGGAAACCTCAGACAGAAGAAGGGTAAATGGTTTCCTGTCTGTGTTGGCAACATTTTGGCTTTCTCGAGGCTTAACAATAAGCAAAAAAAGCTATTAATTTCCACGGGATTTTAATTTAAAAAGCCACTGTAGAGGAGCTAAAGAGTTGCATGTGGGTCCAGAGCCGCAGGTTGCCCACCCCTGAGCTAAGATATGAGCTCTCTTCCTTCTTATCTCAGTTAAAAGTTGCACATGAGCAGTAATGATTGAGCAGTCCCAAGAAAATGACGGCAGATAAAGACAAAGTTCATAACCAGATTCGCCAGCGAGCATTTCAGTTATCTTGGCAACGGGAGTTTAGCTGGGTGACATTAGAGAATGTCGGCAAAACCCCAGCTATGAACTGCAGTTTGTCGAGAAGTGTGAGAGCAAGGCGAATAAAATGGTCATTTTCATGACGGTTAACTTTAGTTTTTGTTGTTTAATAACTAGTAATAAATAGAACAATTTGTATAGGGGCAAGTAAAACTGACTTTGGGCAAGTAGATTCTTGACCCAAGTAATAAAAAACATTAACATTGAACCCTGTATCACTGTTTTCTAAACTTAAACTTCGAAAACTTGTCTATTAGGATATGAAGTTGTTAAAAGGCTTAAATTCTTTGTCCTAAAACACATCGCTGAACAAAATACACTTTAAAAAGTGCCTACTTTCTGGAAGGAAGTTACCTCTGATGGTATTGTGTCATTGACGCAGGGTCAAATTGAAAAATGGCCCCTGTCCTTTAATTTTCCACTTGACCTGTGTGTAAAATGCAGAGCAGATTTAGATAATTTACAACAATGACTCTTACTGATTTTTTTGTTGTGCTTCTGTAAGATTCAGGATGATCATCTGTTTGAACTCTTGTCATTTGAAAAACATAATGCAGTTAAAAGTATTATTCATCCTACTTTAACTGCATCTCCTTTGAGTGTTTTACTGAATTTCCTACAAGGTGCTTTTTAATCTACCAAAAGAGAATTATTACAAATAACCAAAAATTCAGGTGATAATCATCAACTCACATTATTTAAAATTCCTTTTGATCTTTTAAGTCACTTTTTTTTTTTTTTTTTTTTTTTGGGACAATTGATTGTTAGCTTTTTGTACACATTTTTAGTTACAACATGTCAGAAGTAAATGTGATTTTTCTATTGTTGAAGCGAGTGCTAAATGTGACACTCATGTTTCTTTTTGTACCTTAATATTTTTATTATTTCACGTCCATGTGATTCTTAAAATGACATAGTTCAGTTGTACTGGGTAAACTTGAGAAGTTACCAGCACAGAATCAAAAGGTAAAGTTTTGACCAAGAATAGTCTTCTAAGATCAGTAATCAAGATTTAAAAGAAAACAAAAGTAATGCTCATTTGCAGTCAGTATTATCCATTACAATGGTGTGAGACTAATTATTAGAGGCAGCTACTGACTGAAAGTGTACTGGTCTGAATTGAAAAACTGTTTTCCAGACTGGATAAGTTTTGTTCTCTGGTAATTGTGATGCTAAGGGAAGTTAAAACAAAGCCAGTAAAATCCAGATAATCTCATTGAATGTTCTGAATGTTTCTCTGCAGCCACAGCGAGCTGTCTGGAGGAGCGCCTGGCAGATCTTCATTTATCCTCGACGGCTCAACGCGACTTTGAGACGGAGAACGAAGACGTCACCAGTCAGAGTGACACTCAGAGTTCAGAGACAGAGGGGGTTTCCTTCAGTGCCTTTGAATCCTACATGAGAGGCATGGTGGGTAATGCAGTCCCTCAGAGTGTTTCCACTGTTTGTGTCTGATGAAATGTCTTCTAAAAATCCATTTATTTTACTCTGGACAGACGCGAGCTCAAAGTGACGGAGACCTCAGACCCAAACCCAAATCCTGTAAGTCAACAGAAACCCACTTAAACTTTTGATATCATTAGTTTAATGACACTAAACTGTTTTTTAATCCATCAAATTTTGTTCCATGTTTCAGTCATCCGACCAGTGATGAGTCAGCAAACCATTAAGAAGACGGACCCAGTGGCCAAGTAAGTTCTAAACATGAAAATGGTACCTGGATAAAATAACTTACTTAACTTACTTACTTTGTTTTCCCCCTCGGCATAAATGGATGTTTTGTGGGCGTTCCCATGAATACCTACTGTATCCATTAGATTCATGTTGGACTGATGGTTGGCTCCTGTTTTTCTCGTCTCTGCAGGTATTTCCAGTATAAGCAGCTTTGGGAAATGTTTAAACTTCCAGGAGAGAAGGACAGGAGAGCTCTGCGCTTGGAGATTAAGGTATGAAAACATAGCTTCAATGGAGATTTAAAAAAAAGTACTTAAAGTGTATTAATATTTACTCTGTCTGCTCCAACAGTGTCAGGTACATTAACTCCCCACACACGTTTCAGTTTTGTGACTCCTGGTTAGAGGAGGCATGTACATATTGTACCTCTTACTGAACACACAGGAACTGAATACTTCCATGTTTTGTATGTTTCGCTTGAAACCACTTTTGCTTTACTTTTCAGGAACGACTTGCATACCAACCTCCTCCAGTAAGTATTCTCCCAAATATTCACCATACAGCTGAACTTAGCAGCGTGTTCTGTGCTAAAATATATTTTATCTGTTTAAATCACAAGTTAGAGGTATGTGTGAGGAGGGTGGAGATGGTGTGGAGGAGTGCAATTGTAGTGTGACCATTTATGGAGTTATTTACTGTTCCTTACAGCATGGTTGCTCAGCAGTAAAGCGTTAAACCCCAAAAATATCCGTAATGTATTTTTAATGTACCCATAAAATCAGTAGAATAAGTGCATGTACTGTACAAGAGTGCAGATCAGAAGACTTTGTTCTTATTATTGGACTTACCTTTGAAAAGAAAAACGACATCTTCCACCCTTTATTGTGGATAGAAAGCCAGTTTGTGTACTTGGATTCTAGATGCCATATTTGACTGTCAAAAACTGAGCTTTTCCAAAAACTTGACTTGAAAAATGTTGATGAAATGCGACTAATGTACCCTACTTCTGTGCATTATCCTACTTTTAATCACCTAAAAGGGACAGTTAGGATCTTTTGAAGCAGGGTTGTATGAGGTGCTTACCATAGTCAGTGTATTACATAGTGTAGATGTCAGTTGGCATGCCCCACTTTGGAGGAGCGGGCAGGAGTACCACCACGAAAGCCAAGCAATGTTCTGCTGTAGACAGGAGCAGCAGCAAAAGGTTTAGTTAGTATTAGTTTAGGCGTGTAAGTATATTATTTTCACTGCTTTACCTTGGCATCAGACAGTGATTTCCGACAGGGGACTGAAGCAGTTGTATTGCTCTCTTCACAGCCACCAGACTCCATTGAGAAGAACAGCAATTTAACATTGCTGAACACAGAGGCTGCTGGTCTACCACTGCCTCCATTAGTTATTTTGTTTGTGTTATTGTGTGACTTTGGCGTTTGAAAGGGTTAGTTTAAAGTCACCAAAGTCACACGGAAGCACAAACTAACTAACTTTTCGAAGCAGCGGTAGACCAGCAGCTCTTGTGATCGGTGAGCTAAAATGACTGTCTTTGTCAATGGAGTCTGGTAGCAAGAGCATAGAAAGGGAACTGAAGCTGGTAGCGGCTTCCCCGTCGGAAAGTACTGTCTGACGGAAAGGTAAAGGGGTGAAAATATTCTAAATATGTATTGACACTTAGACTGATATTGATTTTTGTAGGCCTCTAAAATACATTTTGTCGCTGACCCTATCCACTGTACATTGCTTAATGTGTGGTGGAACTCCTGTCTGCTTCTCCAGACTGGGAGCATGCCAACCGCCATCTACTGAGGATAATACACTGACTATGGATAAATACTTAATACAACCCCACTTGAAAAAATCCGAATTCTCTTTTTAATGTGTAGCGATGGAACTGATCATGACAGGAATTGTTATTGACAAATCTTTATAAGAACTGCACCAACATAAACAGTGATTTGACCAAGTCTTAATTCTGCAGCCCAAGAATTACCAATTTAATTTTTTTTATGAAAGATATGTCAGTGACACATATATGGTTTGATCAGCTGTACTGAAACACAAATCAAGTGTTTCTAAACAGCTTTACAAGACAGAAATGTCTCTGTCATAATCGTCCCTCCCTCCCTAGACAGGACTTAGTAGAAAGGAAGATAACTTTTCAAAATGGATCCACATTAGTGTTAAAGTAGATTAAGCCTTGTTTTTTTATATGTTGCAGCCCAAACCTCGGAGGGTTTACGTGCCGAACACCTACATCGTGCCAACAGAGAAGAAGCGCTCGGCCCTGCGCTGGGAGATCAGGAACGATTTAGCCAACGGTGTCCTTCCACACAAATTCAGTTATAGATTTTAGGCCTTTTGCTCCCCACATGCCTTTTTAGATACTTTTAATACAAAGATGCATTGTTTTTTATATCATTGACTTTATTTATTGAATTTTCTTGTCAAACATAATAAACACATAAAGAACAGATCGCAGTCAGTGAATATATTACAGATCATTCTATGGTAAGTCCGAGTAGGGCAGTTTAAATGGGTACAGAGGTGTGTAGCGCTGGTCATGCCAAAGCAGCTTGTCTTCCAGAAACTTGATCGTCTCTAGGGTGAGGAGGACTGTTTCGTGTTTCAGCATGCTGTGGACGTTCAGACCTGAGAGAGAAAAAGACAGAAACACCTGCTATTGACAGATTCTTTTCACCTCTATACAAGGTAAAAGTCATAAAACATAAAAAGAAGTATTTTTTGACTTTTAAAAAAAGTAATTTGTTACATGATAGTGCAATACTTCATTCTCTCACTGTTCTGAGAGACTGATGAAACTGCAAGCTAAACATAATGAAGGTGCATCGTTAAAGTGATGCTTGGAGTTCCACTACTACATGCCTGCCATGGTTGGCTTGTAAGCAAAATTATCATTCAGACATAAATTAATACAGAATTAAACAGATCCAATGACACAAAGAGTTAATCCCAAAATTATTAACGCATATTTTTCCTGTGATCTGTAGCGTCAATTTAGGTCAGAAGTTCCCCAAGTGGAGAGTCATGGGTCCATTCTGAATGGACCGCAAGTGACTCGCAAATGTCTCAAGTTTGTGAAAAACATTCTTTTATGTGCAGCGAATTTCTGGTGTATAGCTTTAATCCTGAAGTGCCATTTCCTGCTGTAGATTAACTAACTATCAGACAGCTACTTGACAGAGGCAGCAAACTACCTTGATGACATGGCCAAACACAATTATGATGCTGAATATATTAAACTCTGTGGGCCTTAAATTAACGACAAAGGAGGAACCTGGATGCCGTGGCTGCTGGACCAGTTGGGAACCACAGATCTAAATTATTTTGGTATGAGTTGCTGAGTGTTGGAGGCACTGGTCATAGAGATGTCGGCCTTGTCTCCAATATAATGGAACTACTTGGCACTCGGCTTGTGGAGCTCAGAGTGCCAAAATAATACATTTGAAAAACTCAACACCAATGTCTCTTTCCAGAAATCATGACATGGTTACGCAAGATAATCCACAGACCTTGTTGTGAGCAGTTTCATGTGGGACCTGTTTTCTTTCTGCCAAACTACACCCCTAACTGAATCACTGCAGAAGGAAGCGTGCTTTTACTGAGGTAATGTTAATGTTTATATCTCACACTGTCATGAGCATGAGGCCCTTGACCATGAGTAGATGCACTCTTCCTTCTGTGTGGTGATGTGCTTGGTGGGTGTAATTCAGCAGAGACAAAATAGGTCCCACATTAAACTGCTCTCTGGAGAGAAGGCAGACATCTCTACAGCTGATATCTCCAACATTCTGCACCTCACACAAAAACAAATCAAGATCGATTAAGAGCTCTAGCGATAACAGGAAGATATACTGGATTTTTGGTTGAGTGGTCCCTTTTAAATAATGTCCCAGTTGTGTATTTCTTCCCATCAAGAAATCTGAAGTCTTCCAAGGTATGGCACCAGGACAGTGACGGTAAATTCTAGCATTGAAAAAGAACTGCATTGAAAGGAGACCTGAAATGTTTTTTGGTGAACAAATTATTTGCATTTTAGCCTTTACCCACATATAGGGCATGAATATACTAATATATTGCTCCGGGAGCAGATACACTGTATACAGGAGGTTTTAGAGGTGATATGATGAGATAATAAATCAGTTTGCTGTTAAATCAATATGTAGACACAGGCCTTTGTGTTTTTCGATGACATGACAGTTTTTGGTTCGAGTGTCAGGGGCAACAAGACCGTGAGTTGCACATTATTTGCATACTGAGCAGAGAAAGTTGTAAGAGTATGTCAAATCTGTTTCTCACTGCTGTTGTTTTTCACATAGAACCAGCCGTCTACTGCAACAAGCACAAATGTCAGCTATCACAGCCGACAGTAGTCTGGTTGTCCTTCACACCTCTCCTCTCCGTGCCAAAATAAGTGACATGAAGAAAAACCCCAAAGATTGTCATTGAAAAACACACAAGAATGCAAAAAATAGAATAAAATAATTTTTCAGTGCCAATTAGGGCTGCACGATTTTTTTAACTGTCTCTGCAAGGTCCACTTGGGTGATAAACACAGTTTACAAGAGAGGAATATTGCACTCAGGGATTTTTTGAGTGTCAGTTGTAGTTAAAGAGTGTCAGAAGAAAACTGCACTTTAAAATGTTACTATCATTTTATTTTTATTGGTACTTTTTGTGTTTGTTTCAGTATGTTCAATAAAAGAATGTTGGAAATAATGTTTTATTTGTTTTTAAATGAACAAGCAATTTGTTGTATTTTAGCATTCTACTGAAAGAATCATAGAGGCTATCACATATTTTCCTCATATCATGCAGCCCGAATGCCAATATTCACATTTTCAGTTCAGGTCTTGTCTTCAATACCAAAGTTTACTGTCACTGTCCTGACTCCACAGTGCTAACCACAGACTCTATAATAAAGATGGACAACATGATAGCTCCCCTAAAGCCAAAACAACTCCATCACTCCCTGGTGGCTGGCTGCAGAACCCCCACGTCAGCAGATGGGACATGGGACAAACTAACGGATTGTTACACATCAATAAATTTTTCCCAAATATGTTGTGGTTTTTTTTAACATTTAAGTAGTTCTTACCAGCCTGATGTATGTTCACAGTGTGTGTCAAAGAAATGTGTTTAAAAAAAAAGTCATACTTAAATGTCATAAATTGTGATAAAAAGTCATAATATAGCTTGTCATAAAAATGTGCTCAAAAAAGTCATAGTGTAGTATGTCGTCAAGATGTGCTCAAAAAAGTCATAGTATAGTATGTCGTCAAAATGTGCTCAAAAAAGTCATAGTATAGTATGTGGTCAAAATGTGCAAAAAAAAAAAAAAAGGTCAGTATAGTATGTTGTCACAATGTGCAAAAAAAAGTCATAGTATAGTATGTCGTCAAAATGTGCTCAAAAAGGTCATAGTATAGTATGTTGTCAAAATGTGTAAAAAAAAAACAGTATAGTATGTCATAAAAATGCTAAAAAAGTCATAGTATAGTATGTGGTCAAATGTGCTCAAAAAAGTCATAGTATAGTATGTCGTCAAAATGTGCAAAAAGTCATAGTATAGTATGTGGCCAAAATGTGCTCAGAAAGTCATAGTATAGTATGTGGTCAAAATGTGCTCAGAAAGTCATAGTATAGTATGTCATCAAAATTTGCAAAAAGTCATAGTATAGTATGTCGTCAAAATTTGCAAAAAGTCATAGTATGGTATGTGGTCAAAATGTGCTCAGAAAGTCATAGTATAGTATGTCGTCAAAATTTGCAAAAAGTCATAGTATAGTATGTGGTCAAAATTTGCAAAAAGTCATAGTATAGTATGTCGTCAAAATTTGCAAAAAGTCATAGTATAGTATGTGGTCAAAATGTGCTCAGAAAGTCATAGTATAGTATGTGGTCAAAATGTGCTCAGAAAGTCATAGTATAGTATGTCATCAAAATTTGCAAAAAGTCATAGTATAGTATGTCGTCAAAATTTGCAAAAAGTCATAGTATGGTATGTGGTCAAAATGTGCTCAGAAAGTCATAGTATAGTATGTCGTCAAAATTTGCAAAAAGTCATAGTATAGTATGTGGTCAAAATTTGCAAAAAGTCATAGTATAGTATGTCGTCAAAATTTGCAAAAAGTCATAGTATAGTATGTGGTCAAAATGTGCTCAGAAAGTCATAGTATAGTATGTGGTCAAAATGTGCTCAGAAAGTCATAGTATAGTATGTCATCAAAATTTGCAAAAAGTCATAGTATAGTATGTCGTCAAAATTTGCAAAAAGTCATAGTATAGTATGTGGTCAAAATGTGCTCAGAAAGTCATAGTATAGTATGTCATCAAAATTTGCAAAAAGTCATAGTATAGTATGTGGTCAAAATTTGCAAAAAGTCATAGTATAGTATGTGGTCAAAATGTGCTCAGAAAGTCATAGTATAGTATGTGGTCAAAATGTGCTCAGAAAGTCATAGTATAGTATGTCATCAAAATTTGCAAAAAGTCATAGTATAGTATGTGGTCAAAATTTGCAAAAAGTCATAGTATGGTATGTGGTCAAAATGTGCTCAGAAAGTCATAGTATAGTATGTCGTCAAAATGTGCAAAAAAAAGTCATAGTATAGCATGTCGTCAAAATTTGCAAAAAAAAGTCATAGTATAGTATGTCGTCAAAATTTGCAAAAAAAGTCATAGTATAGTACAGTATAGTGTTCTGTTTTGTTCGCCATCAATGCTTGGGTTTGGTCGGACAGTTGAATGGGAGGGAAGCCAAATACAGCAGAGACCAGTGCTGCAGACTCTGACTCCAAATGACGTCACTAACACAACATGGCAGTGGACGTATCCAGGATATTCTGGCATTATTTTTGTACAGTGGGAGAAAGTGAAGACATGTCATCCAGCCTCATTATACAGGCTATGGTGCTAACACACAAAAAAAATTCCACCGTCTATTGGTCGACATTTCCACTAATTAAACCTGACATAACGACAGTCAGACTGTCAGCCCACAGAAGTGAGTGCAACAGAGCTTTATGACAACAACAAAAGTGAGCGCTAACTTACCGATGGCTGGAATAATGTTCACCGTCTTCAAATTCGCTGTTGCATGAAGGATGTTTTCAGGAAACTCTTCACCTCTGAAAGCAACAAGAACAACGTCAGCACTGAGCAAACCACAGAAGTAAAGTTTTAACAGGGAGTCATACAGGAGCCATGTTGATGATACTCACACATCGACTATTAACACCGACTCTCCCCAGTGTTTGTGTCTGATGAGGTCCAGCAGGTACTGAGGGTCGGGTGTGGGGATGTTCAGAGAGTCTACAATGTGGAGGTAGTCCTGCAAAAACACACAATATTCAGTTCAACATGGGGTCGACACTGAGAGCCCAAAGTATTAAAAATTATTAACAACTATTATTACAACTTTTCTTCTTCAAAAGTTGATGGTTTCCTTTTC